ACATTATAAGATACGATACGCACCTGACACAAAGTGCTCCGAGCATATTCTTGCGTGTTTTGAGGGAGTTTCTTGCCTGTTTATCTTCGCAAGCCATAACCCCCGTCGTTGTTCTGACAAAAGCTTAGTCTTCTCACATTCATGAAGTCTAATGATGGGTATACTGTAAAATCCAAGTTTAACGGAACCTCCGGCACGATTTGAACATCCATTGACCCAGCAGGAGATGACCATTTTCAACTTTATCACGACATTAACACGTTTCAGCTTCTTTTTCTATTGTTTTGCCCACAGAATGCCAACACAAATGGCGCCGGGTCGGCAAATCCCCGTATGTAGTGACGTCATGTAGGAACTATGTATAAAGAAGTTTTTTCGAGAGGTAAGAAGATGCTATATGTTAGCATTTTCCGGGTCCACCCCCATTGGCCTGGGGTGGTATTGCATTTTGGCCACTTTTGAGCCGGGACCCGCCCCCACTGCAAAAAACCCAAGGCCGCCGTGGTAAAAAAAGCTTTATGAAGACTTCTCTTACAAATCATGTTTTTTGAGGCTTTTTTGAAATACCTGTTAGATGTATTACTTTGCAAACATTGCTAACATTGCTATCATTGCTAACATTGCTAACACTGCTAACACTGCTAACATTGCTAACACTGCTAACATTGCTAACATTGCTATCATTGCTAACATTGCTAACATTGCTAACACTGCTAACATTGCTATCATTGCTAACCTTTACAATGTCCTACATCTAACTTGTCTTTCAAAAGAACCACTTTTTATTTTATTTTAACACAACTAGACAAAATGAACTTCATTGAACAAAAATAAATAATGTATACAATGAGTTAAATGTATATTGTGTATATTATGAATATGGATAATAACTGTAATACAATAGTAGTGTAATAGGATAAAATAAACCAACAAACAGAGAAATAAAGACATAGACCATTTATTTTGTGCTTAAGAATGACGTTTTTGATCACAGTTTGTGCTTGGTTACACACGACACGTCAATATTTACAATAAACTGTACAAGAAATCCACATTTATCACATACATTCATGTTTGAGAAAAAGGCTGCTCTTCACACAAGCAAAAATGAATACATTGAAGACGTGAATTTTTGAGTAGGCAACCTGAAGACCCGAGACAGCATCAAAATATACCATTTACAAAAAAGTAAAATAGAGGTTCTGGCTGTTCAAATGGGCCTCATGGAGTCCGTCTTACACATTTGACTGGAAGTAAATAAAATATGCCAAACAATTGATCAATATAGCCACATCGAAACTCGAAAGCGCAACGCATGGCTTGGCACTGGCACTTGCAGCAGATTTGTGTGGAGGCTCAAAAACGGATAACAAAGAGATTTAAATGGCACAATGATTGTAAAAACAAGGGATTAGTGCGTTTTCAAATCATTTCAAAATGCTATAATTTTCAGTTTGGGGTTTAGAGTGACTAATGTGCACTGCTGTTACTGGGATCACATCTGGTGTCATCCTAATGCTTTGTTTTTACTGTTACCTGTCGTAATAAGCTTTTAACATTTCAATATTTTCATCTCGTTATGAAATGTATTATGATTGTGATATTTTTCGCCTTTAGAGACTTTTTATTTCTTTCTTTTTTTCAGCCATTGAACCGACCTGAATGAATTGGGGGCGGAGTCGATTGTAAACTGTTTAGTCGTGAACAAATATGTAGATTAAACACACGTGATTTATAAGTAAAAACAAGTTGAAAAAAATAAAAAAAACACCACAGAATAGTAACAGAAGAAACGAAAAAAAAATATTTGCCTGAATTTAGAACGACTTTAAAATTGTGTGTATCTCAGAGCGTGGAGTTGATAACTGGTATAATAATAATAATACAAAAAAATCTGTTAAAATAATAAATACTGAAGAAAAGGAATGGAGGAACAAGAGTTATGCCCTGAGCACAGCGACCGTGGAGGGAGAGAGTTGTAGGGTCAGAGAGTGACTTGGGCCGGTGTGTTGGAGCCAAATACGCCATTTTCAAACGTTACATTTGTGTTAATAATTTGGGAACTTCCTGTCTCGTTGTTTGCTGAATATTCACACATTTGCAAAAGAAAAAGAATTGATTGACTGGTTGTAAAGCATCTGTCTTCTTTAAGCTGAAAGGGCTCTGTGCACACATGGATTTTCATTTTGAGACAAATATGGCACTCAGTTTAAAGTTTAAACACAATTACATTCTCAATTATTATAGTTCTACATCCGCAATAGTTTTGTTTGGTTATGTGCAAAACATGGCATAAACTGGTCCAACATACTGGCAATATAGAACTGAAGCTAAACAAGTCCCCAAAGGTCTGTGGTTCTATTCCCTTTGCACCTTCCCAAGAACTAAAGAGTACCATAAAAGGAATAGAAACTGATGTCTCCTCGAATCCTCCTTAGTTACATTGAGTGAGTGTTAAATAATATAGAATACACATTTGCTGCACAAATGCACTGTTTGTAAAGAGATAGAAATTTGTCAAAAATTAGGTAAAAAATATGCGAGGAGAGAAGTGGAGGAGAATGAGGAAACATCTTTGTGACCGAGCGGTTGTGCACAGAGCCCCTATGAAACACTTAATTTTAATAATAGTTTTAAAACTTTTTTAATTAGTCTAACCTTCTAGGAAAATTCTACTGCATTGTGAGAAAATGTTGCATTTTTAATTCAGTCTTGTACCCAATGCAAAATTAGCAGTTTGTAATTGTAATACAATATGTCAAACTGAGCCAAAGGGCAGTGTATAATCAGACAATTAAAAGTTTTACTCTGTTTGAAAACTAACTATTTTTTGAAGTATGTCTGTCGCCCGAGGGATATTTTATGCCATAATTTGTTAAAAATCTGGAACAAAAAGGAAACATTCTGAGAAGGACAGTAAAGACATTTAGACAAAGCCCTTTAGTCCCATATATAAGTTGCTCACATGGACTACACTTCCCATCATGCATCTCGTCGCCTGTAGTTTTGTTCATGCAAACAGAGAAACCTCCGACAGAACCTTAAGTCTTTGAAGCAGCAGAAAGGAGCCATTTTTATCCAAAATGTAAAATCACATGAAACATGAGGCAGATAGGAACGTCCCAAAGCTCTCCACCTGGAACCTATGGTTTTACATTTGAGATTGCTATAATGTTTTTTTTTTTTTCAAGAAAAAAAAAAAGGAAAACATTTCTGATACTATGCTTTTGTACGATTTATTCTTCCTCAGTATAAAATAAATCTCACTGAAGCTGGGGTACTTGATTTTCAAACCTCAAAAGATGGAACTATTTGGAACGAAAAAGCAGTCGATCCTTATTATTCATGTAATGTGATTTTTATAGCACAGTATTTTTACTGCAATTTTTGCTTGGTAATATTATAATCAGAAAAAAAGGCAAACAAATGTGTCAGTAACATGCTGTTTTTGTCTTATTGGAAAAAGAACCCTGTGAGTCACTGTTTGACAATTTGGATTGAAATCTGAACGGATCAGTGATGGTGGATCTAAAGATAAAAGTAGAACATTATGTTTTTTTGAAGGTTAGGGACCCCATCTTAAGTCCAAGATTTTCTACTGCTTTACTCCTCTCAATTCTTGCTTTGCTCCTATTTCCATTTTCCAATATATTGTGTCGTTTCTGCACAAAAATATCATGTCTAATGCATTATTTCGACACCAATGCTTTGCTCCTGTCTGCTCCCTCAAACATTTGCACCACCAGTTAAATCATACTTCTTTATCGGTCACAAAACTTGTCAAAACACCCACATTTCGAGCCATGATCCATCCAAAGTTGATCTGTAAGTATATCCTTTGAGAAAAAATAACATTTAACTTTGACTTGTGTCAAAAATCCCACATGAAGTCTTAGAAATCCTCGCGTTGAGTCAAACGGAGGTCCAACATTCAGCTGTCTCCTTGCGTCACTGTAATCCGCTTTTGTTCAGTTATTTTTGTCGGCCATATTGTCTTGTTCGGCCGTTATTCTTCTTTTTTATGTCCTATTGTGTTGGTCCCGCCTCCAGCACAACCCGGTCTAATCCAGATCTAATCCTGGACTCGGGTTTCAATGGCTTTGTTTTATGACCTGGAATGACAAAAAGCAAAAAGTTTAACTTCAAATTAGAATGTTAAAAGTTGTTTTCACTGTTGGCAGATTATTGGGGACAGGCTCATTTGCATATCCCAGTAAATATCCAAAAGTCTGTTAAGTAAGAATCTCTGACAAAAATGTGCCACTTGTTTCTGAGACGTCTCCTCAATCTTTTGGAAGGTTAAAGTCGGGCAAAAAAATCTGTAGTTTGTATCCAGCTTAGTCTTTTGTGTCAAACTCACCTTTTTGGGGTAAAAAAATCCGTGGTTCATTGCTTTGTCTGATCCTGGTATTTATATTTTGATATTAGGTTTGTAAATCCAGATACATGGAAGACCAAAACTGCCAAGAAAATAAATGAATGAATGAAACCGGCAAATACTGAATGTGGCATTGCTACAAAATCTGATATAGAAAGTTACTAATAATAAATAGTCAAAGCAAAGGAAGGTTTGCGCGTTGGAGATTTATAACCTATGGGTGTGGTTAGCCACACACTAATCCTGATAATAACTCATAAACAATCTTTTAGGATGTCGTCATAGATGCGAGGCAAAACAGATCTTAACCCTCCTCCTCTATAAATCTCCAACGCACGGTCTGAGAATTCATTCCCTGAAGAAGTCCTTAGGATTGAGGACGAAACGTTGGGAAAACTTGCTAAGAAGTACAGATGATGGGTGAAAAACCTTCCTTTGCTTTGACTAATCCCTGTACGACTGAGGGCTTACACAAACTAATAATAAATAGTGCAAAAAACATACTAAAAACTTTCTTTCTTTATTTTTATTGGCTGCAATATACTTTCCTCCATCTGGGACCAAACGCAAAGTAAGGTGGTGGGCAGATAGTTAGGCTGAGGATTAAGATTACTCGGTGCTGTCAGTATAACCACAGCAGAGGGGACCAGCAGAATAGGACAGCAGAGGGGAACAGCAGAGGGGAACAGCAGAGGGGGACAGCAGAGTAGGACAGCAGAGGGGAACAGCAGAGGGGAACAGCAGAGGGGAACAGCAGAGGGGGACAGCAGAGGGGGACAGCAGAGTAGGACAGCAGAGGGGGACAGCAGAGGGGGACAGCAGAGGGGGACAGCAGAGTAGGACAGCAGAGGGGGACAGCAGAGGGGGACAGCAGAGGGGGACAGCAGAGGGGGACAGCAGAGGGGAACAGCAGAGGGGAACAGCAGAGGGGGACAGCAGAGTGGGACAGCAGAGGGGGACAGCAGAGGGGGACAGCAGAGGGGGACAGCAGAGGGGGACAGCAGAGGGGGACAGCAGAGGGGGACAGCAGAGGGGGACAGCAGAGGGGGACAGCAGAGGGGAACAGCAGAGGGGAACAGCAGAGGGGGACAGCAGAGGGGAACATCAGAGGGGGACACCAGAGGGGAACAGCAGAGGGGAACAGCAGAAAATTTGCATCTGGTTTAGTTTCTGTCTTAAAGAACAAATATTATGCATTATACAAGTTAATTTAATCTCTTAAACATATTTACATTAGCATTATGTCTTCCTTTTATGTTCACAGTTTGCCTCATTCTTTTCTTAGTTTCTTAGTCCAAGGTGTTTTGTTACTGATAGTGAGACAAAGCCATCGTATCTTCACAAATGGATTAGCTCTCCATAGTCATGACCCACTGGTGAACAGTGTGTCTCCCTTTATCCTTTCTCCATTCCACCATTATCTACAGGCAATGTGCAAAGAAGTCCGACAGGGAAGAAGACTTTTCTCAAAGCTGAACCACATCCAAATGAACTGACTTCAACTCTGATTGTGGAAGAATATACTGTCAACATGTGCTTGTATGTGAGTGTTTGGGTCTTGTCTGCTTGAATAAGAGCGTTGGTGTGTCTTGGTCCTGTCTGTCTCTTGCCATTGGTGTAAATGTGTGTGTGTGTGAATGTGTGTGTGTGTGTGTGTGTGTGTGTGTGTGTTTTTTGGGGGGTTTTAATTCTTTTGTATTGATTCAGATTCAGATACATTTTATTCACCATTTGCAGTAAAACCATAGTGTAGTATACTATGTGTCTGAATGTATTAATATCAGAATTTTTGCTTCGACCAATTCCATTTCTAACTATGTATAGGTTTTCTTGTTTTATCAAATTTATCTGTGAATAATTGTTTGTATGTCATGCATGTTTGAAAAAAAAGAACCAAATGAAAAATTTACAGTTATCAATGCAAAGTCAAAATGACGCAGAGGAAAGTCAACGTCAGAGTGGTTTAAACAACTTTTTGTAGTTCACTAATTATCTTTACCCTTGGGCTATCCTTGGGTCAAAATTACCCACCACAATGATCAAAAATTACTCAATTATATATATATTTTTTAGCTAAATCTTGATAATTTTTCCTCTAAAAGAAAGAGTCCAAATTTCTCTTGCTAATGTCTTAAACCTGTTTCTACAAACATAAAGAAAGGGTCAAACTTAGGGTCTAAAAGAGTCTATTTTTATACACTGGGGTTAACCCTGCTATCCTCGAGTCAAAATTACCCGCCACAGTGATTATAAGAAGAATGAAAACACTAAATTAGGGTCTAAATGACGGTCAAGTTAGGAAAAATAATCAAAATGTAGCTCAAAGCAAATGATATTGTTTTTTCTTCAGTTTTCCTGTAGTTTAGTTTCTCCCTCACCTCAAACATCAGTCGCGTTGAGCCGCGTCACAGCCACATCCTGCGCCTCTTTCCCGCTCTTCCCTTTGTCCCGCGCGCTCTTCTGGCTCTTCCCGAGTGGATGAACGCTGTCCATCCTCCCGCCCCTGCCGCGCCTCTCCGCCTCCTCCCCCGTGCACTTGAACGCGGCGAGAAAGGCTGCGCGGTAGTTCCGGTTCATCCACCCGTACACCAGCGGGTTGGCGAAGGTGGAGCACATGGCGACCACGTGGAACAGCGTGTAGAGCAGCCGAAAGTCCCGCATGTCCAGGACGGAGCTGTCGATGTCTGTGGCCAGTTGGAAGGCGTGGAAGGGGAGCCAGCTGACGGCGAACACCACCACCATAGTGACCAGCATCTTAGTGGTCTTGCGTCGTCGGTGGTGCCGCTCGGAGCTGGCGTTCGCGTTCTCAGCCGGGCTGACGTGACCGCGCAGCTTTGACCATATATGGGCGTAGGCGAAGGAGATGATGGACAGAGGGAGGAAGTACTGCAGGATGAGCATGGAGATGGAGTACACGGTGCCGTCGGTGCTTTTGCCGGGCCATTTCTCCGTGCACACCTGCGGGCCACAGCGGAAGAATGAAGGAGCGGCGTCGATTGTAAGACTTAGATCTGGTTTAGTGTCTTTCTTAAAGGAAAACTAAACACCTGTGCCCAGCCTTACTCCGTCCACATGAACATTTGAAAATTCTCTCTAAAAAGGGCGTTGCCTGGAGGACCAAGGGACAAGAAGGAGGGCTTAGAGTTGGGCGTGGTCTGGGCTGTGATTGACAGCTTGCATGTCAATAAAGAAACAAATGTATGCAGTTTATGATTATTATGTTAAAATAAAGTTGATTTGGTGTTTAGTTGTCCTTGAAAGAAAAAATATTGTGCTCGGTCTTGGTGTGGACTTGTTCATTATTCTAATATAAATTAAGAGCAGTTACTTACTTACTTACCACTTACTTACAAATGCATTTGTGTACAGCCCTAAATCACAAGTTGTCAATTCACAAAGATAGATCAGACAGCGGAAGAATGAAAGAGCTGCATCAATGGTAAGACTTTGATCTGGTTTAGTTTCTGTCTCAAAGAACAAATACTGTGCTCAGTTTCATTTCTCTATTAAACAAGATATTGAGAAAAATCACTTTGACATTTCAAACGTTTATATTTTCTAAAATATCTACTTGGAAAGGCTGAAATCTTTTTCAGCCTTTCCAAGTAGATGCATTTGGATACATCTTGCAGTAAGGGCCCAAAAAGAAGGTCACAATAAAACAAACTGATTTGAAATAATCACTTAAAAACATTTTCTATGAATCCTGTTCCACGCAGCCGAGACTCTCAAAAAAGGTAAAAGTGATAAGAATAGTTAAAGTCTGGTACCTGTATAGTGTGTCCGTCCAACGTGAAGGAGCCATATTCTCTGAAGATGGCGAGAGGACTGGCGAGCACCGCGCTGAGCACCCAGGTCAGAGCGATCACGCCGAAGCAGACGTCTTTACGCATCCTGGTCTCCAAGTGGTACACAATACACCTGCAAAGACACTGGTGAGGCCGAGTTCAGACCTACTACAGTCCTGGTTCAGTCCAGTTTCAGTCTTGATTCAATTCCAGTCCAGCTCTGGTCTAGTCCTGGTTCAGTCAAGACACACTGGTGAGTCCTTTTCAAGTCTTGGTTCAGTCCTGGTCTGTCTCTGGTCCAGTCGTGGGTTAACGTTGGTTTGATAGTCTACAGCAGGGGTGTCAAACTAACTAACTCATTTTGGTCAGCAGCCGAATTAAAACAATAGAAACTGGTCAGGGGCTGAAAGAATAGAATGGATTTCCTTTTTGTATCATTATTTTTTACATTATGAATGAATTTTTAAATGACTTTTGTTTGACATAAGTTTCACTATTATCTTCTGGTCGATTCTTTCTGAAATCAAAATATTTTATTGTTTGGATTTTACCAAAACTGAACCAGATAGAAACACATTGTTTTATATTCAACTATTTAACTTCTAATAAACAGTTGGGTTAAGATTATAGAATACATTAAATATGGCTGTATTCTTGAGAAAATAGATTATGTATAACATGCCTTGGTATTCCATAACTATCAATGCTACAAGTTAATAATGATAATAATAGAAAATCCTTTTAGGACTTTGAGATTTTCATGTCTCGTCTATAGTGTAGACAAGCGAGGTCTGATTAAGGACTATCTGAGGGTTTCTTCACATATTATTGGAAGGAGGTCCCAGGGAAGACCCAGGACACATTAAAGAACCAGGGAATATTCACCAGAAATGAGCTTGAGAAACCAGAAATCATTGTATGATCCTAATCTCAATTGCGTCTGGTTCAAGTCCTGCTTCTAATCGTGGTAAAAATCTTGGCCCATCCATGTTTTTTTTACCTGTGTCGGTCCAGTGCGATCACGTTGAGCGTCACCGTGGAAACATGCACCGCGAGGCCTTGTGCGTACGGCAGCAGGAAGCACAAGACGCTGCCGAACTTCCACTCTCCCTGAAGTGTGTAGACCAGAGTGAAGGGCAGGCACAGGGCATTCACCAACAAGTCCGCTGCAACAGAGAGAGGGGTCACTACAAGGACCGACCTTCAGACCGATTGTATTTGTCAACAATACTAATCAGCATCTATGTAATGGTCCCTACCCTTGGAATGACAACCACCAGGAATATTTGCTAGACCAGGTTTGTTGATGGATTTGAATTAATTTTCAGATTCATAAAACTTCATTGATCCCAAAGAGCAATTAATATTTTGCAGAATCTCAAAAAAGAACTGACAGATTCTACACAAACACCTGTTCCTCCCACAGAGAGTCTCTGAAATTTTTGAGCAATTTTTCAGCATCAGGTTTTGAAACCAACAGATAAAAGAAAAGCTGAGAAGGCTTTCAATAAAAGATCAGTGAAAATAAATAAAACATTGTTTGATTAAAAATGTGTGTTCACTGGTCTATGAATGGCACTATATAAATTAACAGTACTTACTAACTACTTATTTAGTAATTAAATTGAATGTATATGTGTATAGCCCTAAAAGTTGTCAATTCACCGTGACAAATCAGGGAATCAAACAGTTCATTACTTTCAGATAAAAAAAACGAGATATTCATTTAGACATGAATTGAAAACTCTTTTATATCAAGATCGGTACCGTATTGTGTCTGGTATATTAAGATACTCATCGCATCGGCGGGCTCTGGCAGATACCCAGCCAGGCACAAAGGAATGCTGGTGTCTTAGCTTCTTGGAGCATGAGATCGACAACATCAGTCTAATATTACTCGTGGACACCTCTCTAAGGAAGTCACAGGACACTAGGACGCCGTCTCTGCACAATAATGAGACTGTCCAAGAAACAGGAAATGCATTACTGTGGCTAACTCAGGGGAACTCTCAGAACTCTCAGAACTCTCAGCAGATGAGTTAGCCAATGATGCGTTTTATTTGTTGCTGTATATTATAATCTAAACCTTTCTTTCCCTCTGGGCAGAAGCAAAACACATTTTCTTCAAACATATACACCAAATTAAGCACCAAGTAATGAAATATCAGAATAAATTGGCTTTTAATTAACAACAGATATCAGCCGTATGTACATATAGATTTACTGCTCCGAGCTATTACAATTAAAATCACATTATTCCTGCTGTGGCCTTCAAGTAAAGTCTGTGAACCACATACACAAAAAAGTCCTGTTGTATTCCTTCATATTTCATTAAAAACAGCCCGAGGATCTCAAGCGACCTTCCAATTTACCGCTGTATTACACACGTCGTTAGCATTCTCTATAAACCAACGCATTCAAATTCATTGAGAACTGCGGGCCAAAACAGAGTCTGAAGTCCTGGTTCAGACCCGGTTACTAATACTAGTAACTTGATTCATTTCTGTTTTTCTTTTCCAAGGCAAGGCTCCCTTCCCTGGGTTGATTGGATTGGTCGATTATTGGTTGAATTGATATGCGTTGGTTAGATTTTATCGGTATGTTCTGTTTGTACGATGACACGATAATGCATTTCACTGAGATACCTCCAAATCATAAAATGTTGAGCTGCAAAATACAGCCATGTGGTGATACAGAACATTGACAGTAGTTTTATCACTCTCAAAACTGCGTCTTTAGAGGAAATACTTTTGTTTTAAAAGGCTAAAAAAACTCATTGAGCGTAATGTCATAGTGGTACAATGACATCATACAATTATTACCAGACTGAGACAGGAGGTTTTAGACAGAACGGGCGGAGCTACATCAATCAATCAATCAATCAACGTTTATTTATAGAGCGCCTTTCCTACACAAGGCAACGCAAAGCGCCTCACAACCCATATAACATCATGCATAAATCATCAAACATTAGAATTTAAGTAAACATAAAAGGACAGATTAAGAGCACAAGATTTATAAAATCACACAAGTAGTTAAAAACCGTAGAACATTAAAATCACACAAGGGATTACAATCATAAATAATCATAAATAATCATAGCGCATTAAAAAGATTAAAGATAAAAACAAATATAAAATCATTCACTTGTATGCACAGCTAAAAAGAACTGTTTTCAGTTCAGTTTTAAAAACTGCTAGAGTAGACGCCTGTCTCACACTCTCGGGAAGACGGTTCCAGACTCTAGCTGCATGAATCTGAAACGCAGCCTCCCCATGTCTAGTTCCGACTCTTGGCACTAACAGAAGTCCAGTCCCTGTGCTCCTCAGAGCCCGAGTTGGTTCATATGGCACCAACATGTCGCGGATGTACCCTGGTGCGAGGCCATGGAGAGACTTGTACACAAGTAAAGCTACTTTAAAATCTATTCTCTGAGCCACAGGAAGCCAGTGCAGTGTTGATGCCAGAAGTTTGGGTGGATCTAAAAACCACTCCATAACAACTGCATAGTACAGTTGGTCTCATTAAAGCCTGGCAGTTACTGGTTAATTTACTGGAACAAAAACATAACTGGACACAGTGACAGATTACAGCTGCAGCCGCCCCACTGTAGCACCTGGTGTTCACAGTGGTCTCCCATCACAATACTAACCAAGCCTTTTCCTGCTTTGCTTCAAAGGCTAGACAGGATCGTTGACATGGAGGTGAACGTACAGGTAATTAAACTTGAAAAACGTACTACATTACTTACATTCAACTTTGACATCTGCAAAGCTGCTCTATAGTTTTTTTTGTAATTATTTGGAGGATAAAACTGGACACGTTTTGAAGATTTTCAGTCCCTTTACTCATATATTGTGCATCAGAAGTGAATAAGCTGGACCCTAATCATTTCAAAGGCCACAGTTAATCATAAACTTGAGTCTCTTGACCCATTCACAGATGACCCCCCCCCTCTCTCTCTAAACCCCTAACAAGATGATCCATTGATTTTTATTTGCAGAAAATCTTCGTAAATCCCGGCTCTTTCTCAGAAGCCGTCTCGTTCACAGAAAGCGCTGATTCATTTTTAATCCTGAGTCATTCGAGGATAGCACATCTGTCATAACATCTGTCTGCCTCACTACGGGTGTGGGGAAGTGGTCTAATCCTCCCCACAAAATAGATCTGGCCCTGTCACTCAGCACTGTCACAGAAATCCTGGGGCTAAGGCAAAGTTTGGGACTGCTCCTCCGGTCTCAAACTTTCCCCCCAACTGTGGAATAAATAAAAGGTTTCTTATCTTATCTGTTTCCATGGCGACAAAAGCAAAACTGGTAAGGCCTGGATGAGGCAAGCCCACTCCCGATGTGTTTTTCATTCAGTAAGAAGTGCTTTTGGCCTGTTCTAGTTATAGCTAAATATATTTGTTATCTCTAAACATTTTAAATCTCATTATTGATCTGAAACTATTTACGGCACGGATTAAATGCATAATTTGTGTTTATTTTAACCTTTAAATGTTAACATGAAAATATGTTTTATGACAATTTATTTTTGTATAAAATATTGAATAAAGATGTGTAAATAAATTAGCAGTGTTTTAGTTATACTGTGACTGCACCCAAAGAATTCCTGTGTGTGTGTGTGTGTGTGTCAGTCTGTCCCAGGGCAGATGTGGCTACGGAATTTTCATTCATTTTTGTATTATGTATGTATGAATTAAGCCAGGTGTAGGATCTTTGAGTGTCCAAAACATAAAGAGCTCTACAAAACCAACACACTGGCTGTGTGTCTGAGGGGAACGAACTGGAATACTGGTCGGTTGTCACAGACTTTGACGACTGGTGTGAGCGCAACCACTTGTGCTTGAACACCAGTAAGACCAAGGAGATGGTAATCAACTTCAGGAGAAAACCACTTTCCCACACGCTACTGAACATCCAGGGGGAGGACATCAAGCTGGTGGACAGCTTCAAGTACCTGGTTTTTCACATCAACAATAAGCTGGACTGGTCTCATAATACCAACGCCCTGTACAAGAAGGGCCAAAGTCGCCTCTTCCTTCTGAGGAGGCTGCGGTCCTTCGGAGTGAGCAGGCCTCTGCTCAGGACTTTTTATGACTCTGTGGTAGCCTCTGCCATACACTACGATTGCCGTCTGCTGGGCCCCGGGCAACACAGAGCGGGACAGGAGCAGACTGAACAAGCTGGTCAGGAGGGCCAGCTCCACACTGGGCTGCTCCCTGGACTATGTGGAGGAGGTGAAGGACAGGAGGGTGCTCGTCAAAGCCACCTCCATCATGAACAACACCTCCCACCCACTGCACAGGACTGTAGAGGAGCTGAGGAGCTCCTTCAGTGAAGACTGAGACAGACTGTACAACAAGTCACTTTAAGTCACTGTATTAAGACTGAAAAACCTGCACTACAATTGACACTTTCTGATTGCCACTTTTTAAATCGACACTTTTTTTATTGTACATAATATCCTGCATTTAACATGTTTGCACATTTCTTTCTTTTTGCACAATCTTGAGTGTTTCTATCCATGCTAGATGTGACATGTACATTTCTCCTTTGTGAGATCTTATCTTATGAGATGTTTCGTTTGTTTTTCCAGTGAAGCTGGATCTTATTATAAACTCACAGCGGATGAAAACGCTCTTTCAACAGCTTCAGAATTGTGCCTTCAAGGGAAAAGCCTGGACATTCCACAGCTGATCAGGGATTTCAGTTTCCGAAAAGGCTACAACAAGATGCTTCTTTATTTCCGTTGAACGATGAACCCGGGTGTCCTTTGTGGGGTCGACATTTTGGGACATTTTGAGGATGACGCGAGTCGGCAGAGCAGCAGAGATCAAAGGGCTGAAGGACACACTTTCCTCATGTGAACTCCTCACAATTTGACTTTTACACAATCTCTCATGCTTTTTGTTTTGGATTTGGCTGAGGAAGTAGCATTAGGATGCACATTTGTCCCTTAAAAACATGATCTTGGGAATATTTACATTTCATGTTTTAGAAAACAGGGTTGACAGATTACCTGCACTGATATCGATATACTGGTAGCTGCAGTTTAATATAACTTTTAATTCCAGCCTATTGGTTGAAGCAACAATAGTACGACTCAACTAAACACATCAACACAACACTTTTAAATGCGCTGGAAAACGGCTGAAAGTCCTAAGTAGCTCTGAAACAGTTGTTGTTTTGTGCTTTAGAATTTTTATTTTTATCGCTTTTTCTACCTGAGATGTTCCTGCAGTACAGTGTTCATTATTTTACACTGGTCCAGACCAGAGCAGAGAGGATTCATGGTCTGCACCAAGCGGATCAGGTGAAAATCCACTGAAACTTTTGGAAAAATGCTAATGAAGCATTTCGCATTTAACTTTGGACTAGAGCAGATATAATGCTCCGAACCAAGCGGCTTCTCCACCTGGTGACCCGTCCTGCTCCACCCAGAGACTATTGGGCACTTCTGTTCTCCACTTTGAACTTTGGTTTAAAGTGGAGTTATTCTTAATTAGAAAGGACAACGTATATTTGTGTTTACAGTTTTCAAGCAGATGATTAAATCAGAGAGCAGAGCGAGTCTCTTACTTAGGTTGCCAGTTTCACGGAGAAATTGTGAAATCTGGTTTTGAAATCTTGTTTGCCCTTTTTATAACAAATTTACAAAAGAAATGTTTAAGTGAAAGCAGGTACACCAATAAGTAGTCTAAACCCCAGCAGATGGCTAGCATCAGTAAACACTACATGTGTCACAGACAGGATGATCCTGGCAACAAAAGGACAATTGTATTTGCAATTCGATTAGACCATTAAGAGAGAATATACAAACTGTCCCTTTTCATTTCCCTTATTTGGATGTTTCATGACACTTTGAAGCAACTGTGGTTAAAGTTCTAACTCATCATTCTAACATATGCATAAGCCAGTACTTTTCCACTGCATTTTTTGGTTATCTCAAGGTTGAAGCTGCTGGCACTGTGGCAAATGCTGATTGGAGGACTTCATTCCTCCATGCTGTATAATACACTTGCATTCTGTGTTGTTCGTGTTCGTGCTGTCTCTACCAACGAAAATAAAACATGTCTTCTGTCTGAATTAAAGACACCATCCCAGACTTTGTCATCTTCTTCACTTAAAATAAGAATGCAATCCTTTTGTTTTAAAAGGCACCAAACAGCTTGGTCCATTATGAGTATCATATTATAAGTATTTATCACAGCGAGTTTGAGAAAAGAGAATTTAGACAATGGGGGGAAACAAACAAATAGTGGGATAAACAAACAAGAGATATGCTTAATGAGGCTGGTTACCACAAAGGCTTACAATTGTAGAATACAGGAGTATGTGCAGTGTGTGTGTGTGTGTGCGTGTGTGCGTGTGTTTGTGCGTGTGTGCGTGTGTGTGTTTATATTGTTTTTATGTGTGTTTACATTGGATTATTCATAGTGTCCATAGATCAGAGAGACAAATATCATTACACACTTCAATGCTTTACATAAAAGTCTATGAGAGTGTTTTCTGTAAGAATAAAACACAACATTAACCACTAAAAATCAATCCCCATTACAATTCCACTCCAGAGTGTGAGCTCATTAAAATTCAGGGAGGATTTTTTTGGCCTATATCCTGGACTTGGGGGCATTTTCCAGTCTCCAGCTGCTGTTTTTATGGGTTCTGTTTTACGCCTCAGTGAAAATGACATTATTAAAAAGTTTAAAGTCAGGGCTGAGTTTAGAGGAAATGAACGGGATGTTTTATTAGAGTAAAACTTTCAGAGTATGTGCACGTACCCACGGCCAGGTTGGCGATGAAGAAGTTGGTGACAGTTCTAAGCGTCTTGAAGCGATAAATGACGTAAATCACCAGAGAGTTGCCCACGAGCCCCAGGACGATGATGGTGCTGTAGGCCAGGATCAGCACCACCTGCAGGAAACATCTCAAAAGATCATTAAATCCGCAAGCAGCATCAAATGGCCCTTGTAGTGACCATTGTCTCAGTATGTACAGTATTTTAATTAGTTTGAAAAAAAAACTTAACAAACATTACAATGCGAATTTACAGACCGTGTGGAGGATTGGTGTTGTGTTGAATGAGTGAGACGGGTTGAGAACAAAAAAATTATCTACTACAAAACTGCTTCTTCTAATCAGCCGTTGCACACAATATGTTATAAAATATTGACTCGATGTTCGTTCTTTAATTAACTCATTATGTTTGAAAGAATAATTAATTTGTGCTGTGGGTATGTAGTTTCTGTTCATATTGTTATTTGATGATGCATAAGAATTATTTTTGTCTCCAAAGCACAATTTTTACCCTGATTTTAGGCCAATTTTCCCCATGAGTTTTTCACATGAGCAGTTGTTGGTCTCCTTATGGTTTTGTGGCGAATTTGTTTCTGTTCACTGACTCGGTCGGAGCTCCAAACCCTGAAGAGAATCCTCTGTTATAGCGACGACCTCATTGTCGGCTCAAAGCAAGTTACACAGTGAATACTTTGGGAAATCACAAGTTTATTAATACATGTTAAATTTGCTTTTTTGGGTTGAAACTTAAAGAGTTCGCCTCCATCATGTCTACTCTGATCGCACCATGAAACACATATGCCCAATGGCCTCTTCCCATCTGGGTGATATGCAACCATTGATGTTAAACCTCATTTTAACACAAATGTTGTCAGGAAAACACCATCTTACTTTGCCCTAGTCTAAACAATGAAGCCAAAACACAATTAATGATAATTCAGAAAAATAATAAACATCTGTAAATCTGCCATCTTTGCCATTGGTCCAGTTCTGTTTTAATCTAGGAATACTAAACTTATTGGTCAAAAAAAATTATAAACTTTTAACAAATGCAACACCACATATTTTTATCTTCTTTAAAAAAAAAACGAAAAAAAAAAAACCCATTAGCTTCAATATCCATAAAGGCATTATGTAATTTTCTCTAAAAAAAATCCTTAATCCCTGAGGGGTAGAGGGCCAGGGTCACGGCTCCAAAAGATTAAGTTGTAACTTTTATTTCGGTTTTATTGTGATGAAATACACTGTTGGTAAGAGCACCTGCACGCTGAGGAGCCGGATCGTGTCCTCGGGGAAGTTCATGCCTTCGAACGTCACCGTGGGGACAGGGGACGCCGGTGGCCATGGTGACGAGCCCTCCTGCTCCGCCCCCGTTGTGTTGGCTTCTGCCGCCATTTCGGGTCAGAGCGCCGCCATTCCAGTCACTGTGGAAAAAATCAGAGAGAAGATAAGACACTACACTGTATGTATGTAGGGCAAAATGTGCGAACAGGCTTTGAACTATAAAGATGTAAAACCATGGAATCGTTTTCCTTGAGCATATTGTCAACACAACAAAAGGATATAGATTTATACTTGTGAGAGATGTGTGTAAGAGTTGTTTTCCATCCACACTAATATGAGAGCAAATAGTCCAGTGATCTTTGCTGGTAACTGTCGAAAGTCAGATTTATAGACTTAGTTTGGAGATCATTTCTATGTACTTCCAAGGCCATATATCTCACTTTCTAAAACACAAAACTCCAAGTTAAATAGTTTCAAAGTCTCAAAGTCCTTTGGCACAGTCCTTGGTAGTTTGTGTCATTTTTGGCACAAACTACAATATTGCACAGGTTTGTCCCCAGACTGTAGCTGGAGGCATTAAGGACCTTTATGGACATAGGTAAACCGCCCCCTTTGGACCATGGCTCCTATATGTTTGTTATTATTGCATTTCCTGTGTTTGAACTTTGTTTAATTCTCTGATCTGTGTTAGCGAATTGACAACTTTGTAAAGTCCTTCGAGACGACTCCTCTTGTGATTTAGGGCTATACAAAAGTGTTTCTATAGAATTTAGTTTAATCGTCCTGCAACTGGAACAGACCTAACCACTAAACAATAAATATATTGTAACACATCTGTAGGTCTATGGTCAGGTTCAACATTTCTGGATTTTCTTTTTGGCAATTATAATAAAAAAGACAATGTAATCGGCACTTTGTGCTTGTGCTTGGTTCATGTGCAGAGGAAGAGAGTGGGAATCCTGTAGGAGGAAGCTGGTTTTCTTTCCCACTCACATGTGGCGGATTACAGCGGCTAATCCGTGACACAGCAAGTGACAGGAAGTGAATCGCTGCGTGGGACTTTCACAATACGCCGGCGGCCATGTTCCCCCCACACAAACACCTGCAGTCAAACTACCATGTTCTGTGTGACGTATATGTGCTTTGTATAGATATTAATATGGACATCCAGAAAACATGGCAATAATGGTATTGTTTTTGATGTTCCCTCCTCTAAAAACAATTTGATCATCTAATCTTAATTGAGCCACTATCATGATGGCATCATTAAAGGAATAGTTCACCGTTTTTACATACTGACATATGTTCTTACCTTACCTTAGACTAGTTAATACGTATCTGTCTGGTCTTAGTCCGTGCGCTCTGTCATGCAAACGGAGCAAAAACGGGAGCACAACCGCAGCCTCCTCTGTATACTGTATAGGACCCAAAAGGTAGCTCCCGCTAGAAGCTACCAAACTCTTCCAAGTGTTCCCTATTAAATGTATATAGTTACGTGACGTGTTACACTGCAAAGTATAGTAACACAGAAATGTAACAGTCGATTTTCTCAGCGGATAAAACGGGTACTATATTGTGAGGCGTAGTAATCTGAGGAGCGCTACGTCCGCGCACTAACTTCTCTCCGGAGACTTCTCTCTCGCTCACTTCCGTCAATAGAAGCAGCGTGACTTGTAATACACACAGTAGCAGCGAGAGAGAAGTCTCCGGAGAGAAGTTAGTGCGCAGAGAAGTTAGGAGCGCTACGTCCGCGCACTAACTTCTGCGTTTGTGCTCCCGTTTTTGCTCCGTTTGCATGACAGAGCGCACGGACTAAGACCAGACAGGTACGTATTAACTAGTCTAAGGTAAGGTAAGAACATATGTCAGTATGTAAAAACGGTGAACTATTCCTTTAATCACAAACGCATTTCCCTGCCCCCTCTGCGAAAAGGTCAAAATAACATTCAGACATTCGGACTTTCAAAATAAGTCTTCTAAAGTCAAAGCGAAGTGCATCCAGGACCCCAGGGAATTGCATTATAATGGACTAAGGAAAAAGCTTATCCATGTTGGGCAATATAAGCAATATAAACAACTTTCAAACAATAATATTGAAATGTTCACGCTGACCACGCCTCTGTATGAAAACCGTTAAATGCCAAGTTGTTTGGACACACCAGCTTGTGTCGCTCAGTGTGTAATTCCAGTGTGTATGCAAGTAATTCCATAAATCACTTCGAAACAGACCTTTATTATTCTATATGAACAGCAAACACAGAGAAATCAAAGGTAGAATAACTGGAGCTATTCACAGACCAAGGTCACAAAGAGCTTTACAATTTCAAACCAAAATCAGACCATAAAACGTCCTCTTATATTTCAACAGAGCACTCCATATAGTTTTTACTTTTAATCTCAGAATCTGTCCAATTGACTAACTGCTACTGACTAATTTTCTGTTTGGCAAGCAGGAATTACATATCCAATCACAGAGACGTTTGTCACTAAAGTCGTAGCAATAATAGGGATCTATTAGGAACTATGAATTATTCTTCTCTACACAATTACAAAACTGATCTCTTTGCAACATTAAGAGCTGCTTTGAAAATTTATATATTCTGCACTAGAGCAAGTCAAAGTTAGCTGGATGTGACTCCGCTGTAACCTCAGGCAAAACTTTGTACTTTCTCTCCCAAAAGCTGTCACTTCCCATGCAAAAAAACGGAAATATTATGAAATAAACTTATTCCTGAAGGATTTCATGAAAAGATTCTTGCCTTTGCAGCGTCTATGTGTGTGTGAGAGCGTGTAAAGCCTTAAGGCAGGTTACTGTACGTTACTAACAAGCACAAAACCAAAAAACGAGGAGCTGTGTCCCCGTCTTTTTGCTTAAACTCGGAGCGCTCTGACAGAACTGTGAAAATACAAGGCTTTACTGTAAAAATAGAGAAGTTGAAGAAGACACCATGTACTCCTGCCAGTGCATGATTATCTATGACTCCTGTGGGTCATTATAATATATTTAGTACATTTGAAATATCAATAAATGATGTCATGAAAGAAACTTAGTCCGCATACTTCCATATTCAGCCATATATCTCTTCCCATTTATGTGACATGCCTTGCTACTCCTGTCATCGTAGCAGAGTAGATTTAGAATAACACACTGAAGCCCTCAGAGCTGTTGAATTATAAGAACTAAGCCTACATTATCATCAATATTCTCCACAACTCCTGCCGATGCAGGAGGATCTAAGGACAGTGATGAACCCTATGAACCAAGGGCTCAAATGTAAAGAAATAAATTGCAATTGAAGTGTGAGGGAAAACTAAAGTGAAAGCTCAACATTTGTACAGCACTTATAATCAGCATCCATCTTGTCTTCCACAGTGGCAGATGGTTGGAAGAGGTCTCAAAGGTCTAGAGCCTTGAGGTCCTCAGTCTGAGAATAGCACGTCTGTTCACCACCAGACCTTGCAGGCGTTCAGACTAATTTTCTTGTACATTCAACCCTGCAGGCGTCCAGACCACTCTTATAAAGGGGTCCAGACAGTCCTCTTAACAAAACCAGAAAAGAAACAACAAAATCCCAGTCATTCAAATCAAACAATCAATAAATGAAAAGAGTGGAGATATAATCCTTCAGTTGTATGCACAGCCAAACAGAAATTGTCAAACATTGTCTGAGTGAAAGCCTGTCTCACATTTTCAGCACGACTGAAAATGTTTTAGCTGCAGGAATCTGAAACGTTTCACCATGTTTAGTCCTGCCTCTGGGCCCCAGCAGGACGCCGGTCCCTGTGGTCTTCAGAGTCCAAGTCGGTTCAAATGGCACTAACATGGCACAGATGTTGGTGTGGGCCAAGGAGAGACTTGAACACAAGCAGAGCTGCTTTAAAGTCTATTTTCTGAGCCACAGGAAGCATAGCAAAAACTTGAATACTGGAACCTAGAGGCGGCCAGACCACTCTTACCATACAAGACCATCCAGGCGTCCAGACCACATCGAAAAAGGCAAGTGTCCAAACCAATCACTCTAACTTTCAGTTATGCTTTCATTTATTTATTTCAGACTTTGATTATAAGTAATTTAATTCTTTGCATTGCTGTATTTCTTTAGAATACAACAGCAGTCGTCTCAGAGGACTTTTTTTGCCAACAGCCAATTGGTTCATAGAGAGCGGGTTGACCAATCGATGCTAATTTTCACGTCTGCTTCTATATTTATTCATATAGCTGTTTTTCATTATAATTTGTATTGATTTGCATCAAACTTCTATAAAATAAAAATAAATAACTGACCCTACAGCAATGGCGAGGAAAAACTCAAAAATGTCAATCACGGCTGCTTAAAGCTGTAGAATCTAACTTTTTTTGATTGTTTCATAAATACATTGTTTGTCCCAACAGAAAGACTCTTGTACCAATAACTAGTTGTCCTAATTTGATTAGAAAATATTGCATCTATTACATGCTGAGAGCTGATTGGCTGATTGAGGGCTGATACTCTCCCTTTCATTGAGAAAAGCTGATGTAAAGATGTGAGGCTAAAAATACATGCAGAAACTATGGTGTAAGAACCAAACTGTTTTGAGAGTGAGGAACTATGGATTTGATTAGATTGTCTTTCTTTGTTAGTTAGTTATTTATTTAAATTTAAAATTAGGTACTCCAGCTTTAAATAACAAAACCTGACACAGTCCACGTTTACAAGATATTTGTTAAAATTCCATTTGCAGAAAGTGCGTGATGAGAGTTTTAAAAATGAGATTATTTTTAAATACCTGAATTGTGCACTCTTCTGCGAATGAGACCCCGGTGCTTACAGCTACATATTTGACCAATTTTCAGTTTTAGTTCTATCTGTTCAGTTGGAGCAGTTTGCATCAATGTTAAGCCACAATGTTCCAATATTTATTTTATTTATTTCACCTTTATTCAACCAGGAAAGCCCCATTGAGATTAAGGGATTTTATAGGTGTCATGTGGTGAAGTGAAGGAAGACCCAAAAGGCGGGAATATAAAAATAATGATTTAATTGAGAGAATAAAATAAAAATTCAGGGTAAAAACAAATAAAAAATCCAAACACAACTCAGAAACCAGGAAGACAGACAAACAAAGAGAAA